GAATTTTTGATTAGTCTAATAAGCCTGGTGGAACCTATGATCCTAAATGGTAAGCGTTGGATATCCTGAATGGTAAGGTTACTGTCGAATCGGCTATTTGTAGTAGTTGTGGGAAAAGAGTATGGTTTTCCAGTTAGTAGGAATTTACTATGTTCGGCTGTGGTTGGCTTGAAAAATCCACGGGCGAGCGTCAGCGAGCCAACTCCGCTCGTACATCATGATACTAAACAATCGCGCTACGCAAACGATATATGTCAGCGGAGTGCAATGGTTTCAACTATCTGTCCGTTTAGATAGAGACCTCTCCTCAGTCTCCTTATTTCCCACTTCGCTCTGGATGGAGCTGGTCACTTTGGCACGGGGACTGCTCTTTGACGTGTCCATACTAGTAACTTCAGTCTTTCTGCCCCTATTACTGTTGATCGGTGATGGCATCGCACCCAAGGTCCTCTGATAGCCGGGAGCATTGGTGTCACAATGCATTCTTGTTGAGTGCCCGTGTCGATACGGTGCAGGGGGAGCAAACAAGCCGACATAATGATTTTCCAACCTTTTCTCACTGCATTCTGCGCTTTAGGTGCGGATGCGGGGAGGATTGGACAAATGCCATGACGATGGTAGTCTGCTGTTGAGCTGAGGTGTCGTCGTGGAGGCAAGTGTACCAGGAACCGGATGTGAAGAGTGATGGTTTGTGTGTTTTGATCAAGTCATGGAACTCATGCATACCCGAGGCGAGGGTGGCATCTGCACCATGGAAGCAAGCATACCTTAGGCAAACGCCTGACACGGAGCCCAGTACGCCTAGATAATAGTTTCCAGTCACTTTCCACCTGGAATCGGGAGCTTATTTGGCGAGTATGCATGCTGGCCACTAGTGACAGGAGTTGCGTTGCTCCAATACGGCAAGCCGCCGGGCGCTCAAAGCGTGCGTACTGTGTAGGTGTTACCCCTCACCCTTCATCTGGCATGCTTGAGCCCAATGGAACGGCCGGGATAGGAAATGTCGAATGTGCCTGTCAGTCTGCCTACGCCGACGTCCGTCGCCATTGATCCACCTAGGCACCGACATATTGGATTGCGGATTTTCTCAAGTTCAGCTCAGGCTGTCAATATTGAGTTCGAAAGACCTGCTTAAGGGCATAAATACCTCCATGGTTTCTCGAGGCCATCTGGCGGAACCACCAAGTCGATCGTCACATTGCACAAACTTGCCCAGGACGGAATTATGGGAGGCCAGGGTGACACCGGGACTGCCGCGCCCATCACGGTTAACGATGTCGTGTTCACCGAAGCGACCTCTCGGCAGCGCACTCTCTCCTGGGAGCTAAACGGGGCGTCCTGGGCGCCGCCCATGACCATCGAGCAGTACGTCGGCCGTGAGACGGGACTCTCGCAAACCGCACTCTCAGCCAACGGCGGAACCAAGTATTACGTCCTGCACCACAAGTCCGACCCGGAACTCATTGTCTCGGCCTGCGAGGTAACCGCCAAGCAGGGGCTCGTCGCCGACAAAAACGGCTCCCGCGAGGTGACGGCCTACTCCATCGCCTCCGTCTTCACCAATCCCCGTTTCCGCGGGCACGGCATGGCCTCGCACATGCTGCGCCACGTGCAGCAGGTCGTGGACAAGGCCGGGGCCGAGTACGGTGCCCTCTACAGCGACATAGGCCGCGTCTTCTACACCCGGCTCGGCTGGCAGGACCTACGCTCCCCGCAGGTGCTATTCCATCTGCGCGACGACCTCCGGATTCCCCCCGAGGCGGTTACCGGGGTGACCCATCTCGCTGAAGAGACGGTCGCATCCCTCTGCGAGCAGGAGGTGGCGACGTGGAAGGAACGCTTCCGGCGAATCGCGCAACAACGACAACAACAAAACATCAGCAGTAGCAATACCACCCACATTATCTTCCTCCCCACCCCGGCGCAGTTGTCCTGGCATTTTGCGCGCGACAAGTACGTGTGTAAAATTCTCCTCGACCGCGAGGTGGTGCACCGCGGAGCGCAGACGACCGACGGGAAGGCGTGGATCTCCTGGGACCACGACCTGCGCGAGAAGAAATTGAAGATCCTCAAGATTGTCGTGGGCGGGGAGGATGAGCCTCCTGCCAAGAGAAAGACGGATGCCGTGAAATTGCTGCTTGCTGCCATGGCGGAAGCTAAGGAGTGGGGTTTGCCCAAGGTGCTGATGTGGATACCGGGGGCGGCGGGGGGGAACCACCTGGGCCAGGGGGACTGGGAGTGGGAGTGGGCCACGGCGGCTGCGACCGACATCTGGCGCGAGTGGGGTCCCCAGGTGCAGGTTGTGTTGGAGGAAAGGGAGGACGGGTCGATTCCTAGCTTGAGGTGGATGGGCGGGGAGAGTCTGGAGGAGGTGGTCTGGGAGGATAGTGAATATTATGCGTGGTGTTGATTGAAACCCTTGGAAGCTATAAGTATTCGTATATAAGCTGCTTTACAGCAGCCCACGAAGCACACAACTCGGTGAGAATTGCTGGACTCATACTACTGCTTAACGGTGATTGTTGGGCTCCTAGTGTAACATTCGAGGCAAGTGCAACAGCCTCAGCTGACCTACATAACATTGCGATTTCAGTGTTCTGCGTCAATTTGCCGTCGCAAGGCACAACGGGCAGCTCCTGCGTCTGCACATGATCGACACCCGTCTGCACGAAGCCGAGCACGTTCCCATGATTGCTTGCCATGAAATGGTGGTGATGAAGCTGCCGGAGTCGGCGTCGTTCATGACCAACTAGCGGAGTTGGCTCGCTGACGCTCGCCCGTTGATACAACCCCCGCCGACCGTACTACTATAACTCCCTGCCAACTACGAAGTATACTTTTTGTCCTACAACTACTACAAAGAGCCAATTTTACAGTAACATTTACCGTTCAGGATATCCAACATTTACCGTTCAGGATATCCAACGCTTACCGTTTAGGATATTCATGCTTATCGTGGTCACGGTTCAGGACTTCTTTGGACCAATAGGGAGCTCTGGAGCCCGCTAACAGCTATGTACCCTGTAAGCGATAGCGATCTTGCAGGTACGGAGGCCATTTTACTACCAAATTGTTAAGGGTGGCCCGTGTGGCACAGCAAATTTACGGGTGTTGAGCTTAGCAGAATACCCGTGTTTTTGAAAGCCAGTCTGTAGTTAAACCTTCTGATCCCCGCACCATGTTCCGCGCCCATGTAAATAGTGTCATGCAGGATCACTGTATCCGCGGTTGGTTGCAGAAGCCTGAGCGTTCCACAGATGTTACTTTTTATCGCGAATGGTGATAGTATCCCCGCTACACTTTGGGGTCAAGGAACTTTCGAAGTTATAAGTGTACGTACGCGCCAACCCAACCACCCTGGACTCGTCCTACACAGTATGTATGCACAATACATAGGTGCACTGGCAAAGGCCAGCCTCGCGAGCATGCAGACCATAACTCACTGGTCCAGGCTGTCTGGACGACTCGGAACTTTCCGTCTGAGCGCAAGACTCGAGGCAAGGGGCTGAACCAACCACATCGTCTGTCATTTGAGGTTATCATCAAGTTCTATCGACGTGGCCGGCCAGCCAGTTTCAACTCTCCATCCATAACTCCTACGTATACGTGTATGTGCATACAGTACATTCAAGGCACGTTCATCTCAATGAACTGGATTCACTGGCTTTACACTGATGGACCCTGCCATCGAGAGGCCAAGACACTTCTGGAGCAATAGCCCGTCCTCCGCGTCCTCGGTCCAGGCCGTTGCTGGCCAAGTAGCCGTCTTCCACTCCTCTTTTGATGCCGTTGGCGGCGCTGCACATGTTTCCTTGGACGGTCTCATCAGCCAGGCGGCCGTGAGACCGGTGCTGTGGGACGTGGCCGTGAGACGCTTCGCCTCGCCGTCCTACCATGGCACCAACAGACACCAACTCGTAGCGCGCATGGACAGTGCCAGGAGAGCATACGCGAAAGCATTTGTGGCAATCCAAAAGTCGGTTAAGGATGTCGACGCCGCCGCGATCCTCTCACACAGCTCTGAGTCGGATGTGGCCCAGCTCGCGCTGGAGCTCTTCGACCAGCCGACTTCCACAGCCGACGATAAGGGACGCGTCTCGCAGTTCATTGACCTGATACACCACTACCATGGCGTCTTCGATGTGCTCTCCCAGGCTGGCGATTTTGGCTATCTGCCTGTTATCTGGGGCGGGGTGAAGCTGTTGCTGATGGTAAGCCGATGTGCCCATGTCCAGCTCAGTTGGCACACAGAAAGATACTGACACGCTACAGTTTGCCAAGAACAAAAGGGAACTCCTCTCCAAGGTGACAGATATGCTCATCGAGATCGGCTGGTCCCTCTCCCGCATCGAAGTGTATGCCGCCTTGTTCCCAACCGCGCGCATGGTCGAGCTCATTTCGATGCTCTATGCCGCCGTGGCCGACTTTCTTCAAGATGTGGTCCTTCATTTCGCCCACAAGTCCACCGTGCGCAAGGTCCTGTCCTCCTTCGTCCGCCCCTTCGAGGAAAGGTTCGGCCGCGCCATGGACCGTATATCCCGCCTCGTGCGCTGCATCGAGAGTGACGCCCTCGCCCTACACGCCCTCCAGACCCGCAGCATGGCACAGCGCCAAATGGTCGATGCGGCATTGCACCATCACCACGTTCAAGCCACCCTCAGCTCCCTCCCGTTACCACCTCACCCCCTCGGACCACGCTCTCCCTCCACCCCTTCGCCGTCCAACATATTTCCGGACCTTTTCCACCAGATCCGCCACCTCCTCTTCCACAACTTTCCATCCCAGGCGACGTACCACGAGTCGCTTGCCGCAACCTACTCGGTCACCGCCCGCGCGTGGGAGAAGTGGTTCGCCGTGGAACAGCGATATCTCCCCTCCTCGGCCGTCGCCGCCGTTTCCCTCGACGACCCAGACAGGAATGGCAACAAGGACAACAACAACAACAGGAGCACAGTCGGGAAAGCCCGTCTCAGCCACGGGCTGTGCGATGCGCCCGACTACCAGCACGCTCTGCAGTGGGCGGCACAGCAGCGGCGTCTGACCCCGCACATCCCCAGTGCCTACCTGATCTGGGCGCAGGGCATGACGGTGCACACGGCGCTGGCGAGCCTGATCTTCCAGGTGCTGCAGCAGCGGCCGGGCGTTGTGGCCGAGCATAATCTGGACATGGACACGTTCAAGCGGGCGGCAAGCAGCGTGAAGCGGCTGTGGGATCTCTTTGTCTATCTCATGAAGGTGCTTGGCGGGAGCCTGATCTATATCAGCATTGGCTCGGCCGGGCCAGATGAGTTTGCCCTGGTGGAGAAGTTTGTCAACACAGTCAGGAACTGGGAGGGCCCCCCGATCTGGGTGACGCTCATTCATCCGTATCATGACGGCTTTGTCGGCATGGAGGAGGCGACGGATCTGGATGGGTTGTACGACGTCCACCCGTCGCTGTGCGTCACGGATGCGCTTCATCACGTGCTGATGCTGGAGCTGGATATTCACCAGGTGGATAGCACGATCCAAACGGTGCTCTGGGAGGCGGTGTGGAGGGAGACGAGGTACGCGTCGGTCGGGGTCTCCTTGACGCTCGTGGTGGATGCCATACAGAGGTCGGCGGAAGAGTTGTCGCGGCAGCAACAAGAGCTACGGCATGAAGCCCGGGGGCCAGTACTGGGCGACACTGAGAGGGAGCTGTGGGTAGCGGCGGTGCAGGAATGGATTAACGACCCTGTCGCCTCGAATGAGCTTCGCGAGCTCGTGCAGCGACACCTCGATATTGTCGACCTAGCCCTGCCGCATGACATCCGAGCCGCCATCAATCGCCATCTCAAGCGGCTGGTGCTCGTCCGGATCGACGAGGACAAGGCGAGCTCATTCGCTTCCCGGTCCATGACCCAAATCCAGCGGAGTCGCGTGTGGGAGAGGATGAAGGAAGCTATCAGGCCGGCCGCCGAGGTCATGTTCTGCGGGACGATACTGGACGTGGTGGCGGACACACTGGACAGCTACGCCACCATGCCGTGTCAAACCGAGGGGCAGGCGGGTCTGGTCGTTATGAAGCTCATGAATGAACGGTTTGGCAGAGACGGGACGTGGAACCTCTCCATGTCTCTCGACGAGCAGCTCATGGTCCAAGGGATCATGCGGGCTATCATAGCTGGCTTTGAAGACACGCTTGACGCGTTGTCAGAACCGGAGGGAGTTGAGGAGGGCAGTGACTATATCTGATGTATAGTGGTTCTTTAAGTTTCCTCTGACGCTGCTTGGACTACCTAGGCAACGAACTACTCAGGTAGGTAGGTACTAGTAGTATAGTGTGTTTTTTGCGGGGTTGACTAGGTAATAATGTAATCAGCAGTAGGTTAAAATAATAGAAGCCGCCGGTGACCGGATTGAGGTTTCACGGCCACCTACCTTACCCATATAGAAACTACCCCTACTTATACCGGGACACGAATGATATAGCCCGACGCCGTTTGCCCAGTCGCCTTGTAGCTGGTTGAGCAGACGACTGCTCGTTCTTGGGATATCTTGGTACCAATGTAGTCTTCACCACGATGTCAGCAATGTTCTACCTACGTATACCAAGCAGTAACATGTCTCAAACATGATGATGTTTTCAGATAAAGTCGGGAAAGCGTGGTTCTGGCGGCCGAACTTGGCTGGGCGCCGCAGCCATTTTCGGCCGTCGCAACAGCGCGAGGACGCCACGGCGCGGGTCTGGAAAGCATCGGATGAATCATGATGTGGTGGTATTTCGCGCGCTTGGATCGCTTGAGGTCCCAGGGACCGCGACAGGCGCCCAGCCGACTCCAATCATACAGGTATTCCATGCAGTGGCTCCTTCCATTCTTCAAGTCGCAGTCAGACTTGTTGAGTAACCGTCTCAACACATTTTTGGCGCGTACATACGATACCTAGGTACGTTTGTTCCTGCATCTCGGCCACCTGCACCCTCTATTGACGGTATACTCAGACACCCACTCCTGGCGGCCGTTGGTAACGTAGGTACTAATTATCCTCGGTAAATAGTGCCGGCAGTTGCTCGCTCGCTTGCCCGTGGTTCCACTCGAAACCAATCCCCGTGCCGCTTGCGGCTGTCGCCGGCTGAGCATAAGACTACCATATGTACTGTACCTCGGGTACCTTACCTTACCATTTCATTGTGGTTACCAACTTACTCCCGGCCCCTAGTATCTGCGTTACGGTAGTCGAGCCGATGTCGCGAGGTCAGAAGAGAAGAGATTTTCTCGGGACTCCCCGAAGAGGTACCTCCGCTCACATTGCCGACAGGAACAGGCCCGATTAGCAACAAACTTGTGCCCTGGCCAAGGTGGTGAGGTGGAGGTCGTGTGGAGGAGGACACGCAGCCACGTGGGGATCGTCTGGGGACTCGGGTAGTAATTGCATGCTTTTCCCACGGGGAAACCCGCAGCTGCGGGACCTGGGGAATGGGGTAGTGGGGAGACAAATCAAGAAAGTTTGGAATCTGGAGCCATGCTCCGGACTCCTCGGCGCAGGAAATGACGACGGGGACTCAATGTGGGAATCCATTGTTGCCCAACCACGTGCTTTTCACTTTTGTCTTTCTCTCCGTTCTGTAGCCCAACGACGAAGCTTGCGGCGTTCCAGTTTGGAACCTAGGGTATAGTTGGTGTCATTTGCGGAAGCAAGCCCACGATTGTCCAAGTCTGCGCTCAAGGTGAGGTAGGTGAAATCCAACTTTGCTTTAAGCCAGCGTACTACCCCCGGAGCGGTCAAGACTTGGCGGATTTCTTGTTTTCTTGGGCCGGCATGCAGTCTCCATCCGAGTATATTACCTAGTCACTGACAATAAAATAGCTGCAGACGGCGTATCCTCGGGGGCTCTTCGTGTGTATTTCCTATAGTAGGTTAGTACCGATGCCGACAGGCCTCCGAGTCCCATCAGGCCCATCCAAGATAGACCGACTGGTAGACTGGAGCAGGCCCGCCGGCGGTATGATCATGAGATCTGAGAGGCCGAGATGGCCTGGTTTTTGCTACGGAACAGTATAGAACCGGATTGTGGGGGAGAAGCAACGACGCATGAAAAAGAACCTTAAGAGAGAGGACATCCCTCAGTAGCTGGAGAAGCAGCAGTACTCGCTCACCGTCATCACATCAACCCCCGCCATCACCATGTCGCCGACGACACGCTCCGTCTTGGCTTGCGGCCTGTTGCTGGGCTCCGCGGCCAGGGCTCAGTGGAATGACCCGCAGTCCTCTTCGTCGTCGGGCTTCAGCTATGTGCAGCCTCTCAACACCACCATCCTGGGCCAATACGGGCACTCGCCCGCCGTCTATCCCTCACGTACGTCCAGTAATGTGGCTTTCTCAATAACACCCTTCCGTGTTGTCCTGCTTGACGGTCAAGGTGCTAACGTGTTCCCGTAGCCAATGCTACCGGCAGTGGCGGATGGGAGGCCGGCCTGGCGAAGGCCAAGGACTTTGTTTCCAAACTGACGCTCGAGGAGAAGGCGCTCATGGTGACGGGCTATCCAGGGCCGTGCGTGGGCAACATCCTCGCGGTCCCCCGTCTCAACTTCCCGGGCTTGTGTCTCCAGGACGGACCGCTCGCTATCCGCGTGGCCGACTACGCTAGCGTCTTTCCCGCTGGCGTGTCGGTCGCGGCCTCCTGGGACCGTGATCTGATGTACAAGCGCGGCCTGGCCATGGGAGAGGAATTCCGCGGAAAGGGCGCTCATATCTTCTTGGGGTGAGTAGTTCGGTTGTTGATTCCGTCCATAACAACTTGAAAGTATGCTGACGTGGCCGGGGTGTTGCCAGTCCTGTTTCCGGTCCGCTTGGGAGATCAGCGTACGCAGGACGCAACTGGGAGGGATTCTCGCCGGATCCGTACCTAACAGGCGTCGCCATGGAGGAGACCATCAATGGCATGCAAAAGGCGGGCGTTCAGGCGACGGCCAAGCACTTCATCGTCAACGAGCAGGAGACGCAGCGCAACCCGTCGTGGAAGAACGGTGTCATCTCCCAGGAGGCACTCTCGGCCAACCTCGACGACCGCACCATGCACGAGCTCTACCTGTGGCCCTTTGCCAATGCCGTCCGAGCCAAGACGGCTGCTGTCATGTGCGCGTACCAGCGCATCAACGGCTCGTACGCGTGCCAGAACTCGGCCGTATTGAACGGTCTTTTGAAGACGGAGCTCGGTTTCCAGGGCTATGTCATGAGCGACTGGGGTGCCACCCATGCGGGCGTGGCCGCCATCGAGGCCGGGCTTGACATGGACATGCCCGGTGGCTTGGGTCCCTATGGCATGACGTGGACCGGCAACGGCTTCTTCGGGCCGAACGTGACGGCAGCGGTCAACAACGGTACACTGGACCAGGCTCGGTTGGACGACATGATTGTGCGCATCATGACGCCTTACTATGCCCTCGGTCAGGACACCAGCTTCCCTTCGGTTGATCCGTCGACAGCCGACCTCAACACCTTCTCGCCTCGCAGCACCTGGCTGACTGAGTTCAACCTCACGGGCGAGAGCAGCCGCGACGTGCGAGGCAACCACGCGGCCCTGATTCGGGAGCACGGCGCAGCCGCCATGGTGCTGCTCAAGAACGAGAATGGCGCGCTGCCACTCAAGGCCCCCAAGTCCATCGCCGTGTTTGGAAATGACGCTGGCGAGATTACCGATGGCTTCTACAACCAAAAGGACTACGAGTATGGCACGCTCTCGGCGGGCGGCGGCTCGGGCACCGGCCGCTTCACCTACATTGTGACCCCGCTCGAGGCCATCAAGGCGCGGGCGGCCAAAGACAATGCGCTGGTGCAGCACTGGCTCAACAACACGCTGATTGCCACCACCGACGTCACCACGCTGTGGATCCCCAAACGCCCCGAGGTCTGCCTCGTCTTCCTCAAGACGTGGGCCGAGGAGGCCGCCGACCGCACGCATCTCGACGTGGACTGGAACGGCAATGACGTTGTTGAATCGGTGGCGTCGGCTTGCAACAACACCATCGTGGTGACGCACTCGGCGGGCATCAACACGCTGCCGTGGGCCGACCACCCCAACGTGACGGCCATCGTGGCAGCGCACTATCCGGGCCAGGAGAGCGGCAACTCGCTGGTGGACGTGCTGTACGGCGACGTGAACCCGTCGGGCCGGCTGCCGTACACGGTGGCACTGGAGGCCAGCGACTACAACGCCCCGCCCACCACGGCCATCAACACGACGGGCGTCGAGGACTGGCAGAGCTGGTTCGACGAGAAGCTCGAGATCGACTACCGCTACTTTGACGCGCACAACATCAGCGTGCGCTACGAGTTCGGCTTCGGTCTGTCCTATACCACCTTTGCCCTGTCCGACATCAAGACGGCCAAGGCGGACAAGTACAGCAAGAAGAAGTCGACCATCTCGGCGGCGCCCCCGGCCCAGGCGGTGCAGCCCGGCGGCAACCCAGCTCTGTGGGAGACGCTGTACACGGTGACGGTCACGGTGCGCAATACGGGCAAGGTGGACGGCGCCGCCGTGCCCCAGCTGTATGTGACGCTGCCCGTTCCAGGCACGCCGCCGCGGCAGCTGCGCGGCTTCGACAAGGTCTACCTCAAGGCCGGCAAGAGCAAGACGGTGAGCTTCCCGCTCATGAGGCGCGACCTGAGCTACTGGGATGTCGTCAGCCAGGACTGGCTTATTCCGAGCGGTGACATTGGCCTGAGCGTTGGCTTCAGCAGCCGCGATCTGACGCAGTTTGCTACAATCACGCCCCTGTCGTCGTGAGTGTTGACTCTAGGAAATGTAGTTTAGCTTTGACAGAGAAAAGCAGCGATGATGCTGAAGAAACAGTATAAAGAGATGTAGATGTGAATTGTAGTGTTGAGGAATTGACAGAGCGAGGTGCTCTCCCTGCCTTGGAGATTTGTGTGACTATAGTGGAGCACTTTGCGGGCTACCGGTATCTTATCTTATCTACATGTGGCATCATGTCACATCCCTTTAACCGTGGAATTGGCCTATTTCTTGGCAGCCCACAAATACATCGTGCAACCTACCAGGATACGAGTCTCAGCTCTTCAAATCAGCCATACCCTTGACGCGTTTTTCCAGCTTAAAATGGCCCTCTACAGTGCAACCCATCTTTTTCTCCAGCAACGAAGCGATCTAATACATCTTCGCGTATATTCTAGCCTAATTGACGACCTCTTTAATGGATACCAATCAACTTGAAGATTCCTACAATGTTGATGGCGAAGAATTGCCTTCTAAAGATATGGCTGGCGCGCCT